AACAAGGCTTGAGACGAGCAAACGGTGAGAAGGGAGAGGAGACATCATTTAACAGACACAACTTAGAGACCTCTTTTCAGTTAAGTTAGTTTCAAATACTGGATGACAAACACTGGAACCAAAATCTTAGCAGCATACCTAAAAACCATTTTGACATGTAGGGGGTCCCACTGGACATTGTCCACAGAGTGGCCATGCAGCCACAAGAACAAGAGTGTTTTCCTAAAGTACTTAGCTTCTTAGAGTGTGGACCAGGAACTGTTCTGCTCCAAAATGTTTAATACCATCATGTGGATTTGCATTTGCAGAACTCTGAGAAGCTAGGAGAGTGTGTGCTATCTGTGATGCTCCACAGGGTGAAATACATTCATATAAAGAGGCTTTCCTCCTACATAAGGGGGAAAGCAACCTCCATCCTTCACATAGGGTCATTTGGAGACTCTGGCTTTGCCAGAGGAGGAATGGCAAAATGTGTTTAAAAACAAAATTCAAGTTAAGCTGGGTATGTGGCACAGGCCTTTAATCCCAGTTCTTGGGAGGCAGAGGCAGATGGGTCTCTGTGAGTTCAAGGCCAGCCTGGTCCATATTGTGGTTCCAGGACAGCCAGGGCTAATGGCAAGACACTCCCTCAAACTAAAAAATAATAAATTAATAATAATGATAACTTTAAAATTCTAGTTTTAAACTTGAAGATAACAGAAAGAGGCCAGAGCAGCAGAGAAGGTGGTGCCTGGAAAAACTGACCTGCAGAGATAGGGACTGAATGCTTGAGGCCTTGGCTCCCTCCCACAGCGGGTGATGCATGCTCAGCTCACTGAGTGCAGGGACATAGAGCCTGCTTTTTGTTTGCCCATTCAAGGCAGAAGTCCCTGCAGCAATTACCCATTTGTGGTGCCAAATGTACCAATCCCATACCACTAGTGATAAACCAATATACAGATTTTGGTTTTTGTTTTAAGTTTTTTCAAGGTCTGAGAAAAGCAAAGCAAAAATGATTTCATAGCATCATCTTATTATGTGTTTATTAACAAGGCACCTGAAATTAGAAATATCATCAAAACTAGAGTTTTCACAGGAAAAAAAACTACTAAAAATTCAAAGAATTATTACTAAGTAAATATGTAAAAATGTATTATCATACGGATTTAATTTTTTAAGTACTCAGTTTCTACATTAAGAAACAATATCAAAAGCAAATGGTCCAAAAATTAAATAAATAAGTATGAAAAACCTAAATTAAAAGTATAAATAAGTAAACATGTAGTAATTAAAACAAAGTAAACAAACTACAAAAATAATTAGTTAAAGTGAGAATTAAACAAGTGAGGTTTACAGTTTATCCTGATATGTCCTTCAGTGTTGTCCTACTTGGTTCTGTTGTGATGGACTCCAAGAGTCACATAAATATTATATGCATCAGCATCACAAATTTAAAATATTATACATTCAAAGCATTAAGAAACAAAACAAAGATATCAAAAACATTGGACTGTAGGAATAGTCTTTCTCATACTTAGAGTGAAATGACATTTTCTTGGAAAAGGCCGAGTTCCACCTAACATTTTATCCCAAAGCACAGGGCATACCACAGTGTAACAACATTTAGTAACATTGGAAATGTACTAATATGAAAAAAAAAAAAAAAAAAAAAGAAGGCTGAGGAAGACTGCACTGTGGAGGCCAAAGCTGGGCTCACTTGTCTAGCTCTTCCATGTCAAGAGGGGCCAGGAGGTCAACTGTTCTATGCTTGAGCAGATTTGGCACCCTACAGTGTGTCCAAGGAAGGAAGGCTCATGAACTCAGATACCTCAGACCTAAGGAGACAATGATCCCCACAGAGTCACAACACAGTTAATAACTGGCCTTGCGTGTACCTTCCTGGACGGCTGCTCATTTGAGAGCCCCAGCACTTGCCAGCCTTCTGGGTACTTCTTCTACTGCCTCTCCTCTCTGAGCAGTCTGGAAGTTAAACAGCTATGTGAGTAAACTGTCACACGGGTGCCCTGTAGTGTGTGAGTCAAAGCCCAGTGTGTCTGGGTCACCGCTAAAAGGGCTGTGATGACACTGAGTTTCCAAGCTGGACAACAAAAGGCTGCAGCTTCCCAAGCCATTTGTCTGGGACATTTTACCAATTTTTGTTTACTTTCTTTAAAAAGAAAGAATTATGGAAACAAAATATTTACAGTAAACACATTGCATGGGTACATCTTACCATATCACATGTGCAACTGTGGCATGGAAAAATAAAGATGGATGCATCAGAATAGATCTTCAATAGCTTTATACTGTTTAAAATTTCTCATTTTAAAACCAGTCAAATGTCAAAAAGGAGAGGGGAAACCTTTGTGTATATTCTCTTCCCCAAACACTGTGTCTCTCTATTCATGAGCTAAAGTCATGCTTTAGTAGCAGAGGCCAGGAGTGACAGTTACTGAAGGTCCAGTGAGAGCTTCACTGTCTGGCACAGCTATGCAAGCCAGGCAGCCTCCATTCACCACCCTGCACACAGTGAACAGTGCAGTGTGCCCAGGAGGGGACTAACTATGGAGCTCCTGTGAAACAACTACACACATACTGGTCACTGCGCTGTGGCTCCAAATGTTCCTGCTTTCAGAGGAGTTAGAATCAACCACTTCTACTGTGATAACACATCTGCTTTACAACTGAGGAGCCAACAAAGCAATCCCCACTCTGGGCTGGGCAACATGTATCCTGCAGCCAGGGCAGTGTGTAGGAGACATCTGGAGGGACTTCTTCTAGAGCCTTCCAAGAACTTAAGACATGCAAAGCCTGGCCATCCACTGACATCAAAAATGAGAAAGGAGGCTATAGGGAGAACAGCTCCTAACTTGGCTGCAGCAAAATACCACCTACCCCAGGGCAGATGCACAACTGCTGTACAGAATTTCCATGAAAAATTCAGAAATATGAGGTTTATGCAAAGATAAGTAATGCAAAATCCAGAAAAGGTCTACCAACCTGCAGTGTTGCAGAGAAGTTGTTTGCTTTCATTTTTGTTTGTTTTTTAAGTACAATACTATTAGATGGTGATGGTTTGCAAGACAATTTTAGTGGGATTATTTATTTCCATTTGTTTGAGATAGGGCCTTGCTATGCTATACAGGCTGGCTTCAGACTACGTGTGTGTGTGTGTGTGTGTGTGTGTGTGTGTGTGTGTGTGTGTGTGTGTGCGCGCGCTTGGGGCCATATTTTCCTTACCCATTCATCAGCTGGATGGCATTTGGGTTGTCCCCATTTCCTAGCAATCCTCCTGCCTTAGCCTCCCACATTAGTTGTTATTTTAAATGTTTATAAATGATCTGGAGGCGGGGCCTCGAGTCCCAGCTACTCGGGAAGCTGAAACAGGGAGATCACCTGAGCCCAAGAGCTGAAGACCAGCTTAAGCAACCAAGTAAGCCACTTCCTCAAAACAAACAAGTAAATGCAAGCTTGCTCATAAGTTTCTCATTCTAATTTTTCAAGAATTAGTCCCATTGCAATAAAATGTCTTTTGATTTGAAATTTTATAGTAGGTGTCTCAGAAGAAAGAGGTCAATTACAGAAATCAGATGAATCCAGGAGTTCAAAGAATCATATGTATGGTCCTTAAAAAGGACATAATGCATTTACAGGTTTGACTAAGGAAAAGAGGTCAAATATCTTAATCAACATACTAAGAGCTTTTAAAAGTGCCTGTAAGATGTATATGGTTTAAAAATAGGCTTGAGACTCAAGACTTCAGGATATTATTACAGACACACTATGGGCTGCCTGATGATCCAAAGGGATGGGCATAATTAAATACAGAGAACTAACATGAGGGCCCAGGGCTTATGACTCGATCTCCAGCTCCCTCCCTTTCTGAGAGCCTTCCCACTGTCTCATTCCATGTCTAATGAGCATACTCGCATTTCCATTCTAATCGCATTGCATACACAAGTTCCTGGAAGGAAAACATTCTACTTTTTAAATGAGTGTTATTCACTGTTAGGATATTGTTTTGCTAAACAAGCTGTCTGAGGACCATAAGAGATTTTATTTATGGGACTGGGGAGATGGCTCAGCTGTTAGGAGCACTGAGTGGTCTTGAAGAGGACCTGGGTTCTGTTCCCAGCATCCCTATAGTGACTCATAACTGCCTGTAACTGCAATTCCAGGGGATCCAATGCCCTCTTCTGGCCTCCTCAGGAACTACAATGCATGTGATATACAGACATACATATGGGCAAAATTCTCAAAGGAAAAAAAAAATGTTTTGCATTAGCCTAGAAACTAGACTTATTTACAACTTGTTTAGAATTTATCTTAAACACTAAAGTCAAATTTAACAAAAAAGCAAGTAGTGCTGAAAGTGAGAAAAAAAACCAATAGGTATGTTGATTTGAACATATTAAAAGAAAAGCAAGCACTCTGAACAGGAAGGTGAAGGTGTGCTGCTAACAAAGATTCCTCCCACCTTCCCAAATGAAGCATGAGAGGCACTAGCAAAAAGACTACATGGGGGAAAACAGATCATAGACGACTCCTGGATGGACATAAGCCAGCAGCTAACGGCAGAACTGGCAGAGGAGTGAAAATTCTGACTACATATTGGATTCTAACAGTATTAAATTCTACAGATTTAAATTTCATTATTTCCTTGAGAATTCACTATCATTCTCAAAATGACAATGAATTTGACAGAAACCGAGGTTTGCTGCTAAAAACTGTGTGTGAGTTTGTGTGTCCTTTATGGTCAGAGGAACTAGGGATACAGACAATGTACACAAGTGAGAGCAGGGAAACTGCCAAGGCGCTGTGGGCTAGGCCCTGCAGCAAGCCCCGCCCCTATAGCCCCGCCCACTGGTTTGCATATACCTTGAGGAGGTTTGTCAAGGGGAAGTCAGCAGACTATGTCTCATTTCTCAGCTGAGTTTGTCTGTTGCTCTAGATGTTTTTGTTTTGCTTTAGCCTTTAAATGAAATTTTCTTTGATTAAAAATTCCAGATTTTTTTTTTAAATTTAAGGAATTTCTTCACATTTTATAGACAAAAATATCAGAAATGAAAGAGCTGACAGAAGTCACGCAGATCCAAACTCAACCATCCACTTCTCATACTTCTCCAAGTCCGCGGCGGAGACTGACTTGGCAATTTTCTTCAGCGCCAGCTCAAAGTCCCCTCTGGTGACAGGCATCTGAAGCTCCTCCTTGGACAGGGCCCTGATCTCTTCTGGGCTCAGGCCACTGATTCGCCGTCTCATTGCCATCAAAGATGCATCCCTGGAATCAGGCAGGGCAGTCAGTGCCACACCTGCATATGCTGTCAGTACTTCTGGCTATGACAAACATCCTAAGGGCCAGTTATATGAGCTCTTATGATACCACTCAGAAACTCACACCGTCCTAACATTTCAGAAGAGGTTAAAAACCAATGCAAGAGCTGGGGAGGTGGCTCGGTTGGAGTAGTGCTGCCTAGGTAAGCCAAGGACCAGGGGTTCAATTCCCACCCACTCCCAAAAATGCTAGGTACATTGCCACATGCTTGTAATCCTAGGGCTGGGAAGGTAGAAACAAAAATCCATAGGGCTTGTTGGCTACCCAGCCTAGCCTACTTGGCAAGCCTCAGGCCATTGAGAGACCCTGTCTCCAAAACCCAGGGGAAGGCCAGGTATGGTGATGTATACAGTTAGTCCCAGTAACCAGAAGGCAAATGCAGGTAGACCCTTATGAATTCGGGGCTAGCCTGTTTACATAGCCAGCTAGAGAAACTAGAGAGTAAGACCCTAAAAAGAAAAAAGAAAAAAAGGAAGGAAGGGAGGGAGGAAAGGAGGGAGGGAGGCAGGCAGGCAGGCACCCATATATACCATACAAAGAAAACCAGGTGGCAGCACCTGAGAAACAATACCCAAGACTGATCTCTGATCTCCAGGTGCATGTACACACAGGTGCACAGGTATCTGGACACATATGCGCACGCGCGCGCACACACACACACACACACACACACACAGAGGAAGAAGTAGACTGGAGCAGTATCGTTTATCACAGAAGCCTGGAGCAAACTCAGCTAGCACTCGGCTTTTTCTTCTCAGTGCCTCAAAAACAGCAGGAAGTTTAGAAAGAGAAAGTCAAATTTTGGAATACAGAACTGCATATTTTGAATGAGAACATGGCTAATGTTAAAATAATTCAAGCCATGTATTAGTCAGTCCACAGCCCAAGCAGCAGGAGTAAAAGGCAGGAACATGAGCCTATCCATATACTGGAGAAATTTCCCTACATGGGATGTCTGTGGGAAGCCAACAGTGTAAACTCAGGCTTCCCCTGACCTCATTCAGTCCCATTTGCCCAACTATAAATAAATACAAAGGCTTAGAAGAAATTGCTAAGTTCTCATCAAGACCTACTTGGAAGGACAAGCCAGCCACACCTTCATGTTTGCCAGTGTTTTACTAGAGAACGTGAAAACTGTATTGGGCATTAGGCCTTTAGACTCAGACACACCTAGAAAACACTAGCAGAAAACATGAGAAAAACAGATGCCAAAGCTTTCAGAGAAAGCTGCTGGGACCAACTGTGCAGACTTCTCCATATAAGAACTAAAAATCCTCTTTATCGGGTGACATGCCTAAAAGTTATGAAGTTCCTACAGTGAAAGGGAAAGAAAAGAACATGTGTGTTTCTTCCACCGACAAAACTGATCAACTTCATTCACCCACATGTGGTCTACATTTGCTTCCATCCATATAGCTGGGCTCCAGCCTAAAGTTAATCAATCAGCGGCTGCTCAGCTATTGTTGCCAAATAAGACACAGCATTCCTGGAAGAATCCAAACTCTAATGGGGATAGAGCTCACTGGTAGAGCACTTGCCTACCAGTCTTTGCTGCCCGGAACCATAAGAAAAGAAGCCCAAAACACTAAGAGTCTGTAATCCTAGCACTCCTAAGACGGAGGCAGGAGGACTATGAATTTACTGTCTGGGCAATAGAGACCTGGTATCAAGAGTAAAAGAAAGCAAAACTGATCACACTATGTACTTGTTTGTCTAACAACCAATGACGGTGTGTGTACAGGGAAATACTTCCTTATAATATTACGTGTGTATGTTTCCAGGGTTGCCCATTTGGCATGGGTCACTAATTGGTGTGCTCCTCTCTGGGGAAGACTATTTCTCCTGCTCTTAGTATTCTTTAGTTGCCTGGGCTCCTTATCTAGGGCTGAGGCCTCCTGAGCTTGGCTGTCTCCAGGTAAGCATGTCTACTGTTGTACAGTTCACATTTAGGTAGTCATTGGTGAAAGAAAAGATATAGAAGAATGATGTAATTATATTATAGCCTCACAAAATAAGTAATTTTTTAAAGGAAAGTAAAGCTAGTTGAAAAGAAGAAACAAGTGCAGCAGTAGAAAAATATTTCAAGGAAATGGGTTGTCGCCTTTGGGTTTGGGGCTATTTCTTAAGGCTAGTTGCCCTACAAAACTAAAACTCATGTCTGGGTCACAGGTCACAAAGACACACCTGCAGACATTAGTTATGTCAGCGCCCGAATAGCCCTCAATCTTGTCGGCGATATCCTCCAGGCGGATGTCGGGGTCCAGCTCCACCTCCCGAAGGCTGATCTTCAGAAGCTCAGCTCTTCCTTTTGCTACGAGAAGACAAAATGTCTTGTTAAAACTACAGACCATTTTGCTGAGGAATCCCATCTAAAATCCAGGCACAGAGGGCAATTCAAAGAAGGGTGAAAGATGGCAAGTGCCCTAGCACTTCTGACTTGCCACCCAATGCAGAGGAATCCTACTTTCTATACGTGGTCACTGAAACAGAAGTGATCCCATTCTTGCAGACACAGGCCTGCTATGAGAACAGAAGACATGATAGACACTGTATTCAATGCCAGAATGCTTCTAAGTAAAAACACTGGGGGGGGGGGCACTGGAGGGACAGCTCAGCAGTCAAGAGCATTGGCTGCTCTTGCAGAAGACCTGGGTTCAGTTCCTAGCACCCACATGGGGCACATACCATCTGTAACTCCACTTCTAGGAGATCTGACACTATATCCTGGCCTCCATAAGCACTGCATGCATGTGGCGTAATATACGCTGGCAAAATACCTATACACATGAAATTCATTTTAAAATTGAAGTTGGCCTACTCTATCAAATGAGACTGAATGGAGTATATCTCCTGTAACTCCGCTCACATGTTAGGATGACAGATTTATAGAATTCTCGCCAGTGGTTCAGAAAAGCTCCTAAGACTTAGCATTGAGCACAAACGGCTCAGTAGTGATTTCTTAGTCTGGAGCTGCTTGCTGCCAGCACAGCTTCCTCCCAATGCTGGTGCAGACAGGGCTCTCTACTGAGCAACTTGAATTTCACCATTGCAGTCTGTGACCTGCCCAAACAAGACTCTATGACAGACCATAACAGGTTTTCCTTGCTCTCTATTTGGTTTTTTTTTTTTTTTGAGGGGGGGGCAGGGTTTCTCTATATTGCTTTGGAGCCTGTCCTGGAACTTGCTCTGTAGACCAGGCTAGACTCGAACTCATAGAGATCCATCTGCTTCTGCCTCCCGAGTGCTGGGATTAAAGGTATGCACCACCAACACCTGGCTATACAAAATAAATTTAATTTTCCTCAACTGTTATTTTGAAAAAATTTAAATATACATGAAAAAATCCTTTACTTCTCCTCAATTCACTGGTTATTAATAGTATCACTCTAGCTCCCTACTTCCCCTCTCCACACACACTTGAGAATTCAGAGCTGGCTGCAGGTAACATTACACCCACATGGCCATGAGCATGCATCTCCTGAGAACAAAGACATAGTCATATTTTTCACTATTATTAGGAAATACAATAGTGGTGCCTAAGTAGCACCTGAAACACAATTTAAAAGGCAATGTCCCAGTTAGCTCGCGCCTCTTGGCTTCTAATCCATCACATCCTGCAATCACATTGTTTTCATTATTATCTCCCATTAAAGAGTCAGACCCTACAAGTTTGTTTCTATTAGTTTTAGCCTTCATGGCACAGTTCTTCCCCCAATTCATAACACCAAAGCACTTCAAGCAAGACTGTCTGAAGAGGTCTGTTTATAGAACCTGATGGCAGAGTCTACAATGTGCATGCATATGGAAAAAAACCAAGAACAACCGAGATGTTCTAGAAGAACAGTAAGGTGGGAAGAAATGGCTGCTAACAATTTACAATATGGCCTGCAAAGCAACTGGAAGTTGCCAGTGGGACACTGTGGATACAAACATGTCAGTGGACTCCAGGTTATAAAAGGTGGTTCAGATAATGAGGAAATATAAACCTATCCTCAAGGAAAATGAGATCCAGTTTTCCCTTATTCTATACAAAAAAATCAGTGTCAATATATATCACAAGTAAAATAAATGTAAAATTACATGTACTTTAGAAAATGACTAGGAAAACAGTTAATGATCTTAGGGAGAATTCTCAAGATACACATTTAAAGAGGAGTACTGGGGCTGGAGGGATGGCTCAGCAAGTAAACTGCTTGCCATGAAATCATCAGGACTTGAGTTTGGATCCCTGGCACACACATCAAAATCTGGGCTTGGCTGCATGAGCCTGTGATCTCTGTGCTGGGGAGTAGAACCAGAGATGCTGAAGGAAGGAGGCAGAACTGGGGATGCTGAAGGCTCATTGGTCAGCCAGTCTACTCAGTCAATGAACTCCAGGTTGTGAGAGACCCTGTCTCAAAAACTAAAGAGGAGTGACAGAGAAGAACACCCAACACTGATCTCTGACCTCCAGAGGCCCATACACAGCACTCACACATATGTCCGCATGCATGTGGCACATGCACATATACACCACACACAACAGAATGAAGGAAAAGCTAGCTAACTCTGCAGATAACACTTGAACTAGGGGCTCCTATTATCACAAGAACCATGTCCCCAAACATTCTTATGCTGAAGTCCTAACTCCAAGTCCTTTGGAATGTGACTGCACTTGGTAACAGAGGCTTTTTAAAAGATACAATGCGGTCACATGAGTCTGTCTTAACCCAATATAACCGATGTTCTTATTAAAAGATTAGGACACAGACATATTCAGGAGGAAGGCCATGCGTTGACACCAGAGTAAGATGGCATCTAGCAGGCAAAGAGAGGGGTCTCAGAGTGAAAGATTCTAAGGATCAAAGCCCTGTCTCCTCACTTGCTCGGGTGACTGAACAGAATTAACTCTGGGGGAAACATAGCTGGGTCTACACCAGTCATGACATTCCCAGCAGCCTTGCTGGGAGCAGCCGTACCACTATGAGGCTGGTGACAGTGGCTGAAGCTCCTCCCTGAGACTTGACAGTCTTCCCCTGGGTCTGCAGATGCCCTGTGACCAACATAGGATGAGAAAGTCTGACATCTTTGCCTTCATCCTATCTGTCCTCCTGGCTGTCTTATCTTCTGGGCAGATTCCACTCGCCCTATACATGGACAGGTTGATTCTTAGAAAAAGATTTTGTCCAGAACTATAACTCAGGGTTAATCTGATGGATATGTGCCTAGTCTCTCATCCCCTTCAAGGGGCAGCCACACTGCCCATCACAGGAACGAGGGAAAGGTGGCACCTGTGCTCCAGGAGGACTTCTGCCTGTGCCCAGAAGGAACAGAAGGTCCTCGATCCTTCATCACTCCTTCCTTGCATCTAGAACCATCTCCCTGTGGTGGAGAAGCTGGCTGCATGCAAAGATTTCTCTTCTCCATTCTTCAATGGCTAGTAAAACTTTTCTGTATCCCAGCACTCACGTCTGGGAGATCTCCACATGTAATACACCTGGATTCCATTACACTTTCAGCTTGGACTTTGTGACTTACACAGCAATGAGCAAATGGATTTCTGTTCTTAAATGCAGCTAGGCTTTGGTGTTTGCATCAGCACCCCTAAAAATATGAACACAGTAGAACACCAACCACATGGCACCAGGAAGGAACTACATCTGTGTGTGGTAACATGGAGTCTCTAAAACACACTGAGCAAAGGCAGCAAGACAAATAAACACTGTTCTGTGACTGGATTTATGTAAAATTGCAAAAGAAATAAAGCTGTTTGGAAATACATTAAGTGACAAAAATACAAGGAAAAACAATAAATCACTTCTATAAAAGGAACAACAGTGGTTAGCAGTGGGTCAGGAAGGGATTGTGCTAGCAGGGACACTGTGGAGCTGCTGAGTTCTGAGGATGTCCTGTTTCTTTCCTAGAAGTAGTGACAAGAGTATTTGACCTGCCAATTCTTGAATAAACTGAGAATGCTAATAAACGAGTCTGCCTTGAGTTGTGGTTCACGCAGATACACAGCAGAGGAGATAAGACAGCAACAGTAGTTAAGGTGGGAAGATAATAGGCATGCAGTTTTTGAAGTTTTCCAGAAAAAAATAAAATAAAAGAGAGGACACAACTTGGGGATCTTCATCTCCAGGCATAGTGTTCTGGAGATGAAAACGAGCCTGGAGGCCTTTGGGACAAATGTGTTCAAGTCACCAGTGCAGAGCTGTGACACGTGACAGTGCACAAAGACCAAGCCTCTAGGTGAAGTCACTTCAGCTACTGCTGTAGGTAAGGCCATTCCAGAGCTCAACCAGCGATTAAGCACCACTGTACAGAAAAGAAATGTTTTTAAGTCTCGGTTATCAAAAGTGGCAGAATGGACAGTGACAGCCAGAAAAGGTGACATGAAGCGGGGCCTGCGAGATAAAATTCTACCAATTAATTATGTCATATAGCCTTGAGGCCAAGTCACAAGAATGACCAAGAAATGTGTTATAAAAGTTTTAAAAATTGATAGGCAAGGTTTCCCTTTCTAGCCACAGAGAAATAGCTGATACCACACCAGACCTCCTCTGGTAAACGACTATACACTCCGACAAAATCATGAGACCAAGTATTTTCATGTATGGGGATTTGCCTGCCTGTATGGCTGTGAACCTCGTGTATGCAGTACCTGCATAGTATTGGATCCCCTGGGACTCGAGTTGCAAATGTTTGCGAGCCACCATGTCGGTGCTGGAATCAAACCTGGGTCCTCTCAAAATGTAGTCAGTGCCTTTAACCATTGGCCATCTTTCCAGCCACAAGAATTTGAAGGGTTTTTTTTTGTTTGTTTGTTTTTTGTTTTTTGTTTTTTGTTTTTTTTCCCTGAGTTTTGCCTCTGTGTGCCGCAGGAACATCATTTATAAGAAGGCAATACTCTCTACAATACTCAGACTCTCTACAATATAGAGCATATGATATAAATCACTGGGCATATTAGCACACAGAAAAAGCAAATAAAGCAAGAAAACTGAAAAACTGACAATAGAAACAGGTGGTCTAGAAGTTACAATGGGCTAACATAAAGTGAGAAGTGGCAATCTATTTCTGAGGAAACAATAAATTAAAGTTCAGAGGTGTAAAATAATGTTTTAGTCCCACAGTTTCTGTGAATCTGAATCTGGAAGCAGATTTTCTAGAAACTTCTGGCTGGGGGTCTGAGCTGGCTAATTTATTTGTTCAACTTGGCTGGGACACAGTGCCCAAATCTTATTCATTCTGGAGCTCAGTATTTAAATTGGTAGACTTTGAAAACAGCAGACCATCTGCCCACAATGTGGCGGGGCCTCACCTGATCATTTAAAGGTCTACATAGCTTAAAACATTGGCCTCTTCCAGGAAAGGAACCGGGAGGCCAGAAGCTTTCTGGCTTAACTGCCTGTGACATCAGTTCTTCCTGGGTTTCTATCATGGCAGCTCATCCTGCACACTGTGGACTGCCAGGCTTGTGATTACATGAGCCACACCCTGACATTATTCCATCCATCACTACCTCTTTCTCTTCCTCTCGTCTACTCTCTCCCTCCATGTACCAGCACACTGGCAGAGAGATATACTCCATAGGGTTTTTTTGTTTTGTTTTGGGTTTGGGTTTTTTTTTTTGTACAACTCTAACAGAGGATGCCCTAGTTTCTTTCTGTTGCTGTGATAAAATATTCCAACCAAAAATGACTTATCAGAAGAACAGGTTTATGTGGCTCACACTTCCAGGACACAGTTCATCACTGAGGGAAGTCAGAGCAAGAACTCAAGCAGGAACCTGAAGGCAGAACTGCTCATTACTCCACACAGTATTATATCCAACCAGTGAACTCACAGCCAAGGAAGTACAGCAGAAGCGTAGAGGGACGTTCTTGCTGGCTCACAGCTTAGCTAGCTGTCTTATATGGTCCAGGTCCAACTGCATAAGGATGCGGCGACCCACAGTAGACTGTGTGTGCCACACACATCAACTAATAATGAAGACAATTCCCCATGGACATGTTCACTGGCCAATCTGATGTGCAGAACCCATAAGACTCCCTTCTCAGATGACTCTAGGCTATGTCAAGTTGACAGTTAAAGCTAACTAGGACAGAAGGTATCTCATGAGATTATACTACAGACCTAGACCAGTCAATCTAGAAGCAACTCATCCCCATGGCTGGGAGGATAGTGGCTGTTAGAAGTCTTCAGTTCCCAGGTGGGCTTCTTCCCCCATGGCTACCTGAGCAACTCATGTCATGGCTGTTGGCTCTCAAGGGAGGAAATCAGGCAGAAACCATCCTTTTTCTGACCTAGGTTTAGACCTTAGCATCACTTCTGCCACACACTGTTCCTAGACACAGACCACCCAACCAAAGTAGGGAAGACTCTGAGAATTTTAAAGGGAAGGAGAGACAAAAGTGAATGAGACAATGAAGAATCCCAGCAAAATAACAGAAATTATTTAAAAGCTGGAAATGAAATATTTGCAAAACAAACCTAAGATGAAAATTCAGAGGAAAAGAGACAGCAGAGGAAATGCTTGGTAAATAAAGGTAGATGGAGCCTATCAGGAAAAAGGTTAGAAGAAATGAATAGCACCCCAGTGATGGTTGCAGTGGGACTACGATGTCCAACACACATGCAGAGTAAAAAAAAAAAAAGGGAACCCCACATTACAGCCAACTACTAAAATAAAAATTGCACCATCTTAAAAACAACAAGCAAGTCAGTGACCACCCTGTTGCTATAGCCAAACATGTGTCACCAATGTCACTTCTCAGCATTGATGCAGGGGAAACTAGAGCCATACAAGCAAACAACCATCAATGCTCATAGCAGCCTCATTCATAATGGCCTTAAACTAAGAAGAGTCTAATGTCAACCAATGAGGGATGGAGAAACAGTCTGTGACATGTTCACACAAACAGACAGACAAACAAACAAACAAACAAACAAACAAACAAAATGACCAGTAAGCTCAGGTGGGAAGAAGAAGCCTCTTCAGGGGGAAAGGGCGGACTTGCTTTTCCGTGTGTTGTCTCATGGTAGTTCACAGCTGCCATAGCTCAGAATCTTACATGGATAAAGTTTATTGTGTCTAAGTTATTCCTCAGTAAAACTGATTTTAAAAACAAAGAATTAACCAGGGAGGGAAAGATACCCCTCAACATACAAGGGGACAATGACATGAATGACAACTGGCATCGCCTACGAACAGGCTCAGAGTGGCGGCCCCAGATGCTGTTCCTCCTGATCGGGGGAGATGATGTCTTAACCTCACCATGGCTCAGAACCAGCCGGCAAGTCACAGAACCAGGTATGTTCACAGTGTGAACTCCATTGAAACGGATGAGAACAGCCACCTGGCCCTGCAGTCAGTTCTTCCCAAGCTAACAAGGAGGAAAAGACCAACTCGTAGCTTCCCCTTGGGAGGGAATGAGAAGAGGGAGACGTGCCCCACATCCCAGCTTCCATAGCACAGCCCACGGGCTTGATTGACTCTGCTGGCTTGGGCTCCAAGCACATTGGAAGCAGAATCGGCACCCCCTGGCCTGAGAGATGCCAGGAACAGAACTCAGCAGCTGCTGCAGCCCCAGAACCTATGGCACCTTGAATCAAAGCTTGCACAGCTCCACAGGGCTGGAGAAAGTGTCCAGGCGTTTCCCCTGGGAGGAAAGAAAAGTGGAGCATGCATCTATGTCTAACATTCCAGCATTCAGGAAAACTGCCCAGGGCCACCGATTTCCAGCTCACCAGACTGTGCAGGGAGAGTTTACTCTGAGTCTAACTTTCTCTTTTTCTGAAAGTAGAAACAGAGGATTGAGTCCAGGCCTTTCTTCTTTTTTTAGGTGCGAATGTGAACAGCTGACTGTTCCACCCACACTGACTCCCGTGGCTACACTGATCCAGAGGTCTGCAACGAAGAACCTGTAGGGAGACTCTGCATTCACATAGTTGCCTCATTTTCCTTCTGTCTGTAAGAGCTGTTGTGGTGACTCCTTCATTCCTAACACTGACAACTTATCTCTGTTGTTCTTCATTATTCTTCCAGAGACTTGTCAACATTAATATAAAAAATAAATGCTTGCCTTGTTAGTATTCTATTTCATATCTCACTTACATTTTCCTAATTTATTTCCCTACATATTGAAACTAATTTCTATTTCAAAGGCTAAAATAGTATCTACTCAAGCCTTTTTCAATGTACACATTTACAGACTTTAAAATACTATATAGGCTTCATATCACAATATTTTTTCTACCAAGATAATATTTTCAACTTTTCCAATGTTCTCTTTGGCTCTTCTGTTATTCAGAGCTAACTTGCTTAGTAGTAAAATATTGGGGATAGTCTAAATACCTTATTGTTGATTCCTAATTCAATCCCATTACTATCAGGAATATACTCTGCAAGATGCCAGTTTTTAAATTTTTTGTTGAATTGAGAAAATTCCTTTCAGCAAATGGTACTAGAACCAAATATACTCATGGAAAAAATAAAAGCACCCCACTACCATGTACACAATTAATTCAAGGAGAATCACAGACCTAAATCTAGTTTCTAAAAGTAAACAGAAGAAAGCTTTACAGCCTCAGGGTAAGCAGATATTTTCTAAGATATAGGAAGCCCTATTAATAAAAAACAAAACAAAACAAAAAACCTTGAAAAAAGTTATTCACAAAGTAAAATACTCTGGGTTTTAAGAAATATCATTAAGAAAATTGAAAACTAAACACAAACTGGAAGGAAAAAAATGAAAACGTAAGTACAGAGAATTTATATAATGCATTAATAAAACATTAAATATTATAAAATGGGGAACACATTACATAACTTCATGAAAAGGTGGTCAAGATACAAGTTATCAGAGAAACACAGATTAACTACAATGAGATGCCATTTCATACCAACCAGAGCAAATAAAATGGAAACACAGGCAGCAGCAGCTATAGGGAAGGCTGAAGCACTGCCCCTCCCATTTACTGGTGGTGACAGTGACAATACAACATATACAACCTTTCAGAAAGACAGTTTTGGTATTTCTTAAAATGTTAAGTACAGGTGCTTTGTTAGAAGTGGGCAGAACATCAGTCTTATAAAGTTAATCATATACCTCCCTATGAATGGCTAACATAGCCTATTCATACTACCCAAAGACCTAAAAACAGCCATCCACAAAAATATACATAAAGTTTAAAGCTCTACTCATAATAGCCCAAAACTAGAAGCAACTCCTGTGCCCATCAGAGGAGACTCAACACATAGTAGCATAGTCACACGGAGAAGAAACTACTGATAGGCACAATCACATATGCAAATCTCAAAGATATTCTGCAGAACAAGAGTCACCAGACACTGACTTATGCTGTCACCATACTCTTTACACAAAGCTTAACAAGAAAGAAAACTGGTCTGTGGTGATGGAGAAGGACCAGGGGAATCGCTTATGCAATAGAGATTTAGATGAACTACTGGGGCACACATCCTTTCTAGGATACTACATTGATTCAACATGATGACACACTTCAGAGAACCAATCATAATATGCTTGAGATATACACCACTCAACTACACATATATTTATCTCAAAGAAAAAAATAAAAATAGCTTAAGAAAACTTCAACATTCAAGAGAAAACCACATTTGAAAGGCCCCAAGACAAATTAGGGTTAATGGAATCCAATTTTAGAAGTAAGAAACAGAGCGCTACCAAGCTTATCAGCACAAATACTGCTGTGAGGCTAAGGGTTTCTCTTAAATGGAAAGGACTTCAGAATGGCTGTTTCTGTCACTCGACTGGCCTCCTAATGCCACAGAACTCTTCAAACAAAGTGACAGTGATATATAAAAATAAATAAACAAACAAACAAGCAAACAAACATTGGCGTTTTCAAAAAACAAACAAAGTGACAGTGAGACAGATTTAAATAAACAGAAAAGGGTTAACAGGAAATGACAGAAAGTTCCAGATCCAGTAAAAGGAAGCATCATACCTGTCGGAAGAGGAATGTAGATCCTTTTTTCTAGTCTCCTTCTCAAAGCTTCATCAATGTCCCACGGGAAGTTAGTGGCAGCCAGAACCATCACCATCTTGGATGGATCATCATTTTCTAAGGCTCCTCCGACTCCTGGACACAAGGGAGCAGGAAACAGGCTGTCAGAGTTTTGTGACTGCCACTTAAGTCCTTTCCCTCAGCCAGCCTTTCCAAGTGTAAGCCACAGCTTTTGGTGAACCTCAGTGAAGCAACTTCACCACATCTAGCAACTTCACCACGTCTGTGACCTTGATGGAGTGGCAAACCCAGACATCAACACAGAACAAAATAAAGGAGCTAAAGAATTTGATAACCTAGGGCAGGGCTCTTCTGACCTGTATGTAAGAAAATAGTGCATATTGCTTCTGAAAATTGAGACTAGGGTCCACTTAGTTCTTTAATGTTTTCACTATAAATTGCCTCTTTTTTCCCCCTTAGTTTTGGGTTTAAGTTAGTTGGCTTTCTCAAGGAGAACAGCTGATACAGTACATAGTGTTTTATGATCAGAACAACCAAGGATCTGTGTGCATTGTCTGCTTCTTCACAATTAAATTCAAAGGCTCAAAAACTATCCCAGCATGGCAGTGCACACTTTTAATCCCAGCACTTGGGAGGCAGAGGCACGGGAATCTCTGTGAGTTCAAGGCCAGCCTGATCTATGTAGAGAGTTCAAGAACAGCAAGATCTATAAAATAAAGAGAACCTATCTCTAAAACAAAACAATAGCAACAACAACAACAAAATCTTTGAGAGTACACAGTTGGCTCTGGGCAATACACAATGAAATATTATTCATACATACGCTCACAAATGTGACTGTTTATCAAAGTAGTGTATTTTGAGCAACCCAGTTCAGCACACATAATAAACAAGTCATTACTAAATGCCTTTTAAAATCTTTCTCATGAGGAATAAATCTCTCCAGCTAGCAAGCAGCCCTGATACTGTCCAATGAAATCCTGCTGGCTGGATATGCATTCAGTGATGCCCTGGCCCCAATTTTCAACACCTAATGTTTTCTACTATGCTTTCCTCCCAAGTAAGACACAGTCCTTCTGTTCATACATAAGCAAGAGTTGAAATGGTACACTCACTGAGGGACAGGTCTCCTAGCACACAGTGCCTTTGTTGGTCTCTCAGTGCCTGGCATTGGGAACCATGTGATGTGAAGTACCCATCCTAAGTGGAGTGTTTTGAATAAAAATGGCCCCCATGAGTTGCTATGTTTGAATGTGTGGTTCCTAGTTAGTGGAACTTTTGGGGAAGGATTAGGAGGTGTGGCCTTGCTAGAGAAGGTGTGTCACTAGGGGTGGGCTTTAAGGTTTCAAAAGCCCACCCCAGTCAGTCTCAGCCTGCCCCTCTCTCTCTCTCTCTCTTTCTCTCTCTCTCTCTCTCTCTCTGTCTCTTTCTCTCTTTGTCTCTGTGCCTATAACTTCCAAATCAGATGTGAGCTCTCAAGCTGTTTCTCCAGCACGATTCTTGCCATCTTCCCCACCATGATGATAATGACTACCCCTCTGAAACTGTAAGTGAGCCCCAAGCCAAATGTTTTCTTCTGTAAGTTACCTTGGCCGTGATGTCTCTTTGCAGCAATAGAACAGTAACTAAGTCACTGTGTCCACAGCTGGTGGATAATAAGAAACAGCATTTGCTGGATATTTTAGACACATTTCTGTCTTTTCCTGTGGGTTGCTTAAACTGCCTGCTATCACACAACTACCAGACTGAGCTGTGTCTAAAGAGGTGCTGAGCCCCTCCCTCTTCCTCATGGCTCCTCAAGCCCTTTCCCTCTTTGTCTGGACAATTCTAGCCATGCATCAAAGCCCCTCTGCCTTCATGCTGCACCTCCCACACTGACCACTGTCACCCCTATACCCAGAGTTTCTTTCTGCTGCAGAGGGACCAGTATTCAACTTCTGGTAAGCTGTCAGCCTCTGATGTAGCCGATTGTCTCAAAGGTTTTGGTCTCAAGACCTTCGATATTCTTAAAAACCCCTGGAACTCTTAAGAGCTATCACTGTGTGCGATATGTCTATCAGTATTTTCATTAGAAACCAAAACACAGAAAGGCTGGGCTGTTGGTTCAGTGGTGTTCCCCTTTCAGACACAAGGCTGCAAGTTCTAGCCCCAGTACCATAAGTAGACAAGTAGATAGATAGATAGAATGTTCAAAGTATTGTTTTATTGTAAAAATAAGACTTCATTACTCATCAAATTAAGATAAATAATATACTTTATGAAAAACAAGCATAGTTTTCAAACCTCCCAAGTCTTAGAAGACTTTTTGTTTTGTTTTGTTTTGTTTTGTTTTTCAAGACAGAGTTTCCCTGTGTAGCCCTGGCTGTCCTGGAACTCACTCAGTAGACCAAGCTGGCCTCAAACTCAGAGATCTGCCTGCCTCTGACTCCTGAGTGCTGGGATTAAAGACATGGGCCACCAACTATCACCTAGCTTAGAAGACTTTTAAAATGGTACAATATCTGAGTAATTAATAGCAGCATTCTCCCATCTGCTTCTGCTCAACATCATTTGGGACTCTCCCAGGTTTTGTGGACCCAAGGACCCTCTACTACACACTTGTGAGAGATTTAAAGCAAAACCAGTAAGTGTGCCTTCATGTTAGTATTGACACTGCGTAGCCCTTGTAGAGCCCTGCGGTGGTCTGAAGTCCCAAGGACTCCCAGTCACAGCTTTAGGGCCTTGGCTCCACCAGCAAACTCCTTGGTGGCCAGAGTAGTCCTTTGCTCCATAACCTGTAATTGGACTGATGTGTGGTTCACTGTGAGTGTTCAATGAGTACTTCATGCATGAACAAGTAGGTGATGAGCAAGTGACTTAAGAGAAGTCACAGCTGCCTCCTGACCTTACAAATCATCCAGAACTTACAAATCATGAGTACAGACATAGCTGAAAGGGAGTGACCGTGGGGACAGCCTTTAAATGTCAGTTACCGTCCATCTGGACCAGGAGCTCAGATTTGACTCTGCGGCTCGCTTCATGCTCGTCAGACGTTCCTCTTCGACTGCAGATAGAATCTATCTCATCAATGAAGATCGTGGTGGGGGCATAGAACCTAGCCTTAGTGAAAACATTTAGGAGTCATTCAATGATGTCATAAAGCACCCTATTTTTTAAGTAACTTTTTCATTCTAAAATATTGGCAAATGAAAGCTACAATTTTTTTCTATTAAAGTGGTACCACTATCTTGTCACTGACAATCACGTCAGGAAAAAGCAATCCAAAAATAAAACTTATGTAATTGGTGATGCTGGGTAAAAGATACATACTTTTTGTTTATTATTTATTATTATTTTGAGACAGATCTCACTATGTAGCCCTGACTGGCCTGGAACTGAGTATGTAGACCAGATTGGCCTCTAACTCAAGAGATCCACCTGTCTCCCTCCATGGGGGGGGGGGGTCTTATTGGAAGTAACTTTAAACCAATAAATCAATGTCTAATGGCAGATCCATCTCTGGCTGGCTTTTAAAAGTCTTCTGTCCCATCAGTGTACTAGACATCCAAAATGCCAATCAATCTCATTGGACAACAGGCCAAAGGGCCTATTTTCATCTCATAGAGAAAGATATGTTGAAGACACACCAAGTATCCCACAAAATCCACTGCCACTAATGTATTCACAGCTAGTTGGATACACCCAGACTGTTCTTTCAGAAGATCTCAAGGTCTGTACACCTTGAGGAATCACAGGCCCAGACAGACAAACAGCACTTGGAAATCCAAACACAGCACACTTACCATTTCAAATAACAGACGGACCAGCTTCTCAGATTCGCCTCTGTACTTAGATGTCAATGTAGAAGAGGAGACATTGAAAAATGTTGTCCCACATTCAGTGGCAACCGCTTTAGCTAGCATGGTCTTCCCAGTCCCTGGAGGTCCAACCATCAGTACTCCCTGAAAATCCACAGATTAGGCAACATACTAGATTTAAATGTTTTTCATAAACTATCATCAACTAGTAATGCTGGTGTTTATGAGGCTCCCCATTAAAACATAAACTCTGTTGTCGCTGTGAGATCTGTGCATTTAGGAAGAGCAGCAAGAAAATTATTAAAGTGATTTGTCCAGGTGTTTTGGGTCACAAATGGCCAGAAATAAGCTCATAAAAGACAGGCTGAACAGGTATGGTTACTCACGCCCATAATCCCTGCATGTGGACAGTATGCATAGTGTTGAGAGTTGGAAGCTAGCTTGGACTCCAGAGGAGAGAGACTGTCTGATAAAACAAAATGTAAGGAGAAAAACAGGAAGGGAGGAGGAAAAAGGGGGAGAAGAAAACAAAAGCCCTGGCAGCAAAGAGCCCTCTCATGCATTTTGAAAGAAGCTTTCTTGAACCCAAGGGGAGACAATCCTATAATTCTGTGGAATTCTTAGAGTAACCCTTTTTGGGGCTGGGAAGATGGCTCAGTGGTAAAGAGAATGTACTCTGCAGAGGATCTGAGCTCAGTTCCCAGCACCCACACAAGGCATCTCACAACCACCTTTATCTCCAGCTTCAGGGTAACCAATGCCCTCTTCTAGCCATGGGGGTGGGGCAAGGACCTGCACACTCACATACACACACACACACACACCTGTACACAGACACACACAAACTCATAATTTGTTTAACTTTTTCTTACAGAAAGAGACATCCAAAAAGTTCTTAAAATTAGCCTCTAGCTCAGCACCTGAATCACAGGACTTGGAAGATGGCAGCATCATTGCTCCAAGCCCATCTCTCTCGCTGTGTGGCTGCAGCACATCTCAACTCCAAATTCACACCCAGGTGTGGAGGTGAATGTGAGCTGCCCAATCTACAGATGGTGTTAACACACAGACACACAGTAGTGCTGCCCTTCGCTATACAAGCATCCCCACTTCAAGGCTATCAGACACGCTCACCTTCCATGGCCTTCTAATCCCTTTGAAAAAGTCAGGCATCCACATGGGAAGGACAACAGCTTCCCGGAGCAACTTCTTAGCTTCCTCCAGATCTGCTATGTCATCCCTTTGAGAGAACAGTTGCATGCTGGCTTACTCAGGGGAACCTCTGATTTATAGTCAAAGCTAATTACTTTAAATTCATTTACTTACAATGTTATTCTTATGTTAAGACTGTATTCTAATTCTTGCTATAAAAAAAATGACCAGTGAAAACATACTGGGCTATTAATTAGAACATGTTATGCAGTTAGCAAACTTTGTCAGCATGTCAACCACAGATTAACATGTAAAGTTTCCTTTGTTAGAGTCTGACCGAACTGTTATGACAGACAAAGCCATCATCAGGAGATCGGGAAAAAGATTCACAGTAACCGCCCTTGTGATGTTTTCTTCTCTACTATAATTCAAGATTCTCACCAGTGAATGCTAGGGTTCCTAGATACAATGTCCCTCTCCAGGGTTTCTACCAGATCCTTATCGTACCCAGCGCCATCAAATTTGGGGATTTCACCATCATTTGCACCATCTTGCATGTTTTTCCTTCCCTGGAGGTATGAATAAAAAAGTTATGGTCAGTAACAAAATAACTTGAATTGATATTAAGTTTTCAATACATGTCTGTATGTGTATGTACTGAGTGGGAAATAAGATTCCAGGACACAATATAGGCTGATTAATGTTTATTCGGGAGAAACCATTTACACCAGAAACATGACCATGGCGGGTTCCCACTCCAAGGAAGCCCTCCGCAACCTGACCAGGAAGTAAGAGATAGAGCTAGGGTCTGGAATCCCAGACCTAGTCCCTCAACAGGTCACATGTGCACCTGTCCCCACATCCCAATGGGTTTGGTCAGTGCAACAGGTGTGGGTGGGGTGGATATCTCACTACATGTATGTGTGCATGTATATGCATATGTATCCATATGTTTATGTGTCTGGGTATGCACAGAGCAGGGACCAGGGATAAAATCCAGAGCCTATGCATGCTGGGCAAGCATCCTAGCACTGAGCTACATTCCCAGTCCAGAATAATTTTTAAAAATATTTTCTTATGAAGGGGGTGGTAGTACATGCCTTTAATCCCAATACTCCGGAAGCGGAGGCAGATGGATCTCTATGAGTTTGAGGTCAGCCTGGTCTACAGAGTGAGTTACAGGACAGCCAGAGCTGTTCTAACAGAGAAACCCTGCCTCAAAAAAATTTTTTTTACTATTTAAAATAGTATCTTCTGATTGCTTAGATGCCATCCTGCCCTATGTAATTCATTAGAAGTAGATCAACTGTGATCATCTTGACATCTACATTCTCAGGGGACAGCTGCAGGTAGGACTTCACTAACCCTTCCTGGATCAGCAGTCTAGAGAAGCCTGCCTCTGACTCACTGGACACAAAGGCTTTGCCTCTCTGCTAGAAAACGGACAACTGATGTGCAAGAAGAAAATTAATTACTGGACACTTGCTATGTGACAGAACACCCCACACAGTATCTCATCTGATGTAGTCACCCAGCACCACAGACTGCTTCCCCCTTTCTGATGGATAGGAAAATGGGCATCAGGAAAGCCAAGGAGTTAAACACTTCTCAGCCTCTTGGCTGGTTAAGTGTAAAGTCTAAGTCAGACTCAACTCACTAGCAAATGTTGGGACAGAAAATGTTTTCCTAAAGCAAAACCTTTCCATGGTTCTCCCATCTCACAGCTGGCTGAGTTGCCTACCAACTCAGTGCTGTGAATAGCAGAGCTGACAGATCCCCAGGCAACCACTACAAAGGCTCCAGACGAGATGGCCTTGGGACCTTTCCCTTGACACTGCTGGTCACCACTCAGGACTCAATGGTCTCCTTCAGGACAGTTCTCTGGGTCCCATCACAGAACTGCTCATCATGGCACACACGCTGTTACAACATCCAAACTCCCTCTCATCTCTCCCGCCTTTTCCTTCTGCGCATGCCTTTCACACTCACTGCCCAGAGAACCTTTTCAATAACAGCATTAAGACCTAAGGAAATGTTTGGTCTATCCTAAATTCTTTTACTAATAGTGAGGCTTTAAAAGAAAAAAAAAGGAAAAAGAATTCTATGCTATGGCTCTATTCAGTCTGTGCTGAGACGGTGAATACAGAAATGCTCTGATTTCTCAGTGATTTCAACTACAAGACCAGCTTTAATGAGTGGAGCCACGCCCCTGCTTGGAGCATTGGCCCCTTCTGCCTGATCTAAAAGTGAAAGGCAAAGGGTCATGAGGAGACAGCAGAACATGATGGATTTCTCAGATTCTACTTCATAGGTAAACAAACAGGCACAGTCAGTACCAAAAAGGAACCAAATGGCTCCTTTGGCAGAAGCTTTGGCTTTCTGAGCCACGAGGTAAAGGGCCAAGCAGTGTTCTGGTGACATGATCACAAAGATTTACTATCTTGTGTAGTATGGCAGTCGGGCTGGGAAGAATGCTTAGGAATATCCTTCCAGTTCGAATGGCATATAGTAAAATTTACTCTATTAAAATGAGCAAACCTCTGGCATACTGACACCACAAACAACTTCAACAAATTGAAAACAAGCTCTGTCTGAGATCATATTTTATGACATGGCTAGGCCAAGGCTACAAGCCACATTGAAGCCAACCCCTGGGAACTCTATGACCATTTTAGAGTACTCTAGAAACAAAGCAGTAACAGAAATCTACAGAAACCAACCTAGCTGGCTCCTATCAAGCCCTCACAAACCTTAGTAATCTGAAACTAGCCAAATTAAAATTAAATTCAAGTTTTACTTTCACATGAATGTCCACATGACAGGGACACTTGATATACACTGACAGGAAGGGAATGCCCAGTCTCTGTCTCAAAAAAAAAAAAAAAAAAAAAAACAGGAATTGTGAGATGTTAAGAAAGTAGCTGTGAGCAGTGTGGTTTCAGATCAGGGGGTGAAGATGCACAGGGTTACCCTCACTGAGCACTGGGGGCAGAGGTCGGGGTGGGGTATCCAAGTCATCAATATGACTAAATGAAGAGGCTGGAGAAATGGGCAGCAGTAAGTCTGATTTTTATAAAAAGAACATAGACTAGCATAACAGGACCTGCCATTTAGATGACCCTACTTTTTACTGTAGGGAAGAACGCTGGGGTGGAGGAGAGGAACCAGAGGTCAGCTTTCACTACAGAGGAGGAAAAGTGGGTGTGAGTCAGAAGGACCTGCCCAGTACATCCCCACAAAGAGAAACTCTCCCAACAAGGACCAAATCAAATCAAGATGAAGTGAGACAAAGGTAAAACTAGTGAAGTCGAATGAAACCATCAGCAAAAATGGGCAACAACTGTCCTTATAGCAAACATAAATTAGAAGAGAGGTAGGCAATATAAACACTGTGTGCCTGCGTAGGAGCAGCCATTAACTGCACTGCTTTAATGAAAAGGACAGTTTTCAGCAATAAAACTGAGACTATCACTTGGGATGCTGTGACTTATATGTAACACTAGGCTGGATTGTCATAGGCTGATCTCAGACTCTTTCCTTGGGTTTGTGCATTTGTTGATAAGGTCAGAATTAGCAAGAATGTGACAGAGTTGAGGCTGGCATATAGTGTTTTTCATTACAGCAAAATACTTAGCTTCTTATTACTAATTTCTAAATTATTTGGATCAACACAGTTTCCTTAAGGATCTTTTATAAGTAATGCCAAGTCATTCTGTCTGAAGAAAATGAGGCTGCTCTAAGTGATGAATCAAGTATTTATAGCTTGCAGTCAATGATTGATACAACTTGTCCCCAAATGCAAATAGTACTTGCATTTGCAGCTTCTCACACTGTGGGGCTAAGTGATTGAGATCACTGCTGAATGAACTACACGGAGGACGAATGAACAGATGATAAATGGCTCATACGTCATGCCCTATGGAAGAGGATGCCAGCAAACATGGGGTACGTAAGCTGAGGAGATAGTTCCATAGCAATACCACCCACCAGCTGCTCTGTCACTGCAGAGGAAGGGCCAGGGCCAGCATGAAGCAACAGGAGAGTGGGTTTTAGATCAGCACAGGATTTTCTAACAATGGGTCCTGTTCAGCAAAGACACCGACTTTCTTGTCAGGCAGTGAATGACGTACAGTCACAAGAACGTCTTGGCTGAACTGTAGATGGCTGTGGTTTGTTCTGTAATATTGTTTCTCCCATATCCAACTTACCCTACTCTACTGCCTGGCTTCAATGGCCAAAAACAAGTGCAAGTTTTCTTTAACATTTCATGATTTCTTTCTTTTCTTGTTTCCTTCCCTCCTCTCCTTCTTTCTCTTGGTGCTGGGGATAAAACCCATGGCCTTATATATGCTGGACAAGCACTCTTAGTACAGAACTACATTCTCAGCCTCAATATATCAATTATATATTTTTTTAACTTTTAATTGTGTGTGCATGCATGCATGTTTGTGCACACACAAGGTACTTAAGGAAGCCAGAGACCTCAGATCCTCTTTGAGATGATATTAACAAACCCTGGTCCTCCAGGAGAGCAATATGTGCTCTTAACCACTGAGTCATCTCTCAGCCCCATATATCTTCTGTAAAATACGAATTTTGTATAATCTTTTCCACCTTTAAGATACCAATGAAGTTGAATGGCAACAATGGTGTGGAGACCTGCAACTCCCATTCTGCCAATTTCAGTGCTAACACCCACTTGTAAAACTATTTGATATGACCTCCCAATATCTAACTTACACATCTCCTATGAGCCCACCATTCTGCCCCCAGTGTGTACTCACTAAAAATGGATGCATATTCACAAAGAAGGAAAAGAAAACCTACCCAAAGTGGCACTATTTAACAGTTCCAGACTAGACAACCTGAAAATCCACTAACAAGGCACCAGATTTAATTGTACATAACAGCAAGTAACCATGAGAATAACTTAAAAAAAAGCATGGATGAATCCCGCAAGCATACATTAGTCAGAGAAAGAAAAGAATAAGAAAGAAAGAAAAGGTAAAAAAACAAAAATCCACTTCACAAGAACAGTGGCTGCAAACAAGACACTCCTAGCTGGGCATCATAAGACAGAATGCTGGTCACTCTGGGGAAGAGGGGAGTGGCAGAGACTGTGAGAGAGCAGGACCACAGTATCCGACTTCTGAAGTGCCAGTGTTATCACTTGACTTGGGATGGACACATTTATGACAAGAAAGCTACAAGGGTTACTACAGACGCTGTTCCTTTTTGGCTTATGATAGATAATTATTAAACTTTCAAGAACTTCATAAGCCAGTTGTGAAACATACTTACTACTAAAAACCAAACCTCACCAACAGCTTTGATTAAATGTGTATGTGTAAATGTATATGTATATATTATGTATGTATATATGTTAGGAAAAAAAGTAATATTTAAATATCCTCACTTCTTGATTACCACTGCCTGTGTTCTAGAGGCTTCTTAGTTCTATTATGTCTGCATGCTGGAAACACTGCAGAGTAGGAAATTACCCCCTCATGTAGACAGGGTTGAGTAAGATGGTGGCCCTGTAAAGTGGAATCAACTATACTACAGAGCT